TAAGGCGGCTCTTGGCTCGGTTCTGTTGTCTGGGGAAAGGACTCCGGGGCTGTGACCTCGGGCTCCAAACAGTTCCTAGGGATTCCTTTCAGGTGAATGCTGCATTCTCAAGCCCAGACTGCCAGAGATCGGAGTCCATCACTTCCATAAGTGCCAGGTCCATGTACGCGGCGGATTGCGGTGGCATGCGACAGCTTGCTCAGGCGAGCCATGCTGGAGCCTCTGGTACCTTTCCGTGGCGAGTCTCGCTTACAGCAGCCAGCAAGGCATCGACAAAGCATTAAGCTGCTCTGCACGCGGTATGCAGGCATTGGAATTAGTGAAGTGCGGTGGGTGTATCGGTAAGTGGCAAACGAGTTGTTGCGTAATGATGATTTCGGATTGACGTGGCGAAATGTACTAATCGCGGGAGGGTACCCGTTTAGCAAGGAATTCAAATTCTCAGTTTGCGTCGGTGGTACCTGTGTCTAGAAGGGTCCTCCAGATGTCTTGCTCAACATTCTTAAGTTTCAGACTATCACCCAACCTACATTAAATCAGGGCGCCAAGGTGCACAGGATGGTGGAATTCTGTGCGGGTCCAGAGTGATGCTTTCAAAATGCCCAAGAAGGCAATTGTCACCACTTCTGTGATACCAGTGCAAGCACTTCCAATGACGAATTCTTCACTCAAAAGGCATTGAAAGTGGGAAAACAATCTCATTTCCACAACCCTGCCTTGAACTAGTAGTAATGGGATCCACCCCAACAGTAAGTTTGCAGTTTGAGAACCCCCGACAATTTCTTTGCCTTGTGCGTGCATGGGTTTGTTTTGCCGCAGAATCGAGAGCGAAGTGGCGGGTTGCCAAATGCTGTGGATTTACACAAGTGTTACCATACAGTTTGCAGCGCAGTTAGTCAAACTGCATCAACCTATCGATCTCTGGTTTGGTAAACTCCTGACTTGATGTGTTCTCCCGTTCAGCTGATTGTTGGGAGTCCGCATCATTGAAAATCCACAAGTCCGCCCTTCGTCAGCACTGTTCTCTAGCTCCGCCCTCCAAGAGGGCAGGATGCGTGCTGTTTCTTTCCCTTCTGCGAACTGAGCATTTGCTGGCCAAAAATGAGGCGACAGCTGCGAGCTTGACTGGCGCAAAGGTAATGACTCAGGTGCTGAGAAGTTTCGCCCGACGAGAGGAGCATGGGAGGTGAGAAGCTTGTTGGGCCACCAGCTGTCAACGCTTGTCAATCCAAGAAAGAAGGCAGTGCACACCTCCTTATCGAAGTACAGCCCGAGAAAAAGGAAATCGTTCGCCCAGAGCGCCCACTGTTTTAATAGGTATGTGTCACTCTGGAGCCTGAGCTGCCAGGTTGGCCGCTAAGAACTTGATCCCCGGAAAAAAAAGAAGAGAGGCCCGTGCACCGAAAAGGCCGCTAAGAAGTTTGGACCACCTGGAATCGCACCCATCAATGCTATCTACTCCGCGTCCAGGAGAAAGCGTGGTGCCGCAAAACCGAGGGTTCCTGGCATACAGGGGGCTGGAAACACAGCATGTTGCTCCCGAAAGTGGTCGAGGGCTGAGAAATTCGGGGTCTCGATTTCTTTGCTGCCTTTTCGGATGCCTAGTGGCCTCTTCGCTTGCACCCCCTTTGTGTCGGACAAGTTTGCAACGAAATTGGTCGAGCAAACGCAGGGGCTCTCAATTTGGCAGCTAGAGTAGGTGCAACCTACCTCCTTGGAAAAACTCAGCGCAATTTCTTTTTTGTGCGATCTACATCGATGGCCGCAAGAGGGTGGCTGGCTCAGACAGCGACTTCGAGGTCGAGCTGGGAGAGTCCCTGCACCTCCAGAGCAACGCCAGGCTGGCCGTCTACAAGATCCGCCTGGCGGACAGCTTCCTGTCCACGGACCGGGGCCGCTACCTCTACTGGGTTGACGCCGCGCTCGGCACGTTGAACTGGGCGTTGCTGCCCGAGAGAGCTTACACGGGCGCTCGGTTGGCCGCCTGGGTCAGCTCCAACTTCGCCGCCGCCACTTACAGCGAGACCATGAACAGCCTGAGCGTCGCTTAAGTCTTACGGCGGCAATAGACTGATTCTGAACAACCTCGAATTACGTCAGCAATTCCCCGACGCAGAAAATTGGTATTTCTGGAGGTCGCGGCCTCATATTCTATGACTCTCTGCTCTGTCTCACCTTCAAAAATGCTCATGCTACCCATGCCACCCATTCTACCCGCGCTACCTGGTTTCTCCAAACGCACTATAACGCACCTATGGCGATTCTCACACTTGTCCGTCCAGGAAATGACCTCGCCCGCCGAGATAGATTCCTGAACGCTTCACTGCCGGGGCTGCGCTATAACGAGCCCTCAATATGCGTAGGCTATTTGCCCCGTAGCTGCGTTTCTGCAAGACGAGCCCCCCGTTGGGTTCGGCTTGGCTGGGTTGGGTTCTGGCTGGCTGGGTTGGCTTCGGCGGCTGGCTTGGCTGGCTGGCTGGCTTCGGGTTGGCTTTTGGCTGGTTTGGCTGGTTTGGCTGGTTTGGCTGGCTCTGGCTGGCTCTGGCTGGCTCTGGCTGGCTCTGGCTGGCTCTGGCTGGCTTCGGTTTGGCTGGCTTGGACCTTTTCTTTTCCGTTTTTTTAGCTTGCCGTGCAGAAACGCAGCTTCGGGGCAAATTGCAGGCATTTTGAGGGGTCGTTAGTGCAGCCCCGAGGCACTGTTTGAATCTTCGCCCGCGTGGCCATTTCTGCTTCAAGCCATTTGATCGGACATGTTTCCAGGGTCTGAACCCTTTTTTGATGCCCGCCGCCCACCCTGACTCTTGCCCAGGCGGACATGCGTTTGCAATTCAATTTCCTTGGATCGCGTATGACTCAGGCGTTCTGACATCAGAAGACCAAGGACGGATGTACCGCACGCGCATCCTAATAATACGCTTAGGACGTTCTGAGACCAGGCAGAATGCGCTTCATTTTGACCATCAGGCATTGATGCACGCATTGCATTTGCCTTGGTTGACATACCTCCTGTCTCGTTTCACGCCGCAGTGAGTAAACCTACAAGGAAGGTCGAACACGCGTTGTTGACCAGGGGGTTTGTCCACAGGCTCCGCATGGGGTGCAGACGAAACGGGTCGGACACGTGTTGTCGATCCATCTGCACCCCTAAGCCTGTTACCTCTGAGCAACTCCTGAGATAAAGAGCTGCGCGCCGTTTCGCGAATTGGCTCTCGTTTGTCACATGTCTGTTTTGGTCTTGAAGCAGTGAACAGAATTCTGACACTGGTGCACGCTCAGTCAAGCTTGAACTCAGACCCCAACCATTCGCAAATGCGCTTTGCGCGCCAATGCTAAAACTCGAAAATGTGGTGGACAGTGCCGGAAATGCTCAGAATGCGGGTTTCTGTTCTGGCTCCAGAAAATCATAAGGTAAATGATATTTCATAAGGTCCAGGACCGTCAGATAGAAAGGGTACGAAATTTAGTACCCTTTCTATTTGATTGTCCCGGACGTTGTGAAATGTGATTTACCTTATGATTTTCTGGAGGCAGAGTAGTTTCTCAGTTTTGAAGTTTTTCAAAGATTACGCCGTGCGTGTTTCAGCCTAATTTGCCACAAATGGGAAAAGTTTCACTCATGCGGGTTTCACCGTCACGTTTCCATGGGTGCGTGGTAAAGACCTTGTTTCCGGGCGAAACGTCTGGCTTCGAATGTGCGAACTTTTGACCAATACAGATTTGCCGGTCATGTTCCGTGGACATGGGGTAGCAGCCTTGTTTCTGGGCGGAAGGTGTTATTGGACGATACGTATTCTACTCTGAAGGCACGGCACATTTTCGCCGAAACAACAGGCAGGGCTTTGAAGTGGTTCTAGCTGAAAAAGCGAAGCCGGAGCTATGGCAAAGTCGCGCTTATGGAACTCAAACTTGACAGTCTCAATCATTTCTTTTGCACTTCCAGATTCCAATTTTGCGCTGCGCTTGAAACGTGTGCGTTGGCAACCTCGTGCAAAGAATGGAACTCAGACCCTGCTCGCCATCCAACAAGGAAAACTCGCCAGGGTCCGCCGTCACGTCTTTGCCTCGCGCGGGGGCGCGAGGCGCCCACGAGCTCGGCGAGAAGCGGCCATGATGCGAGCGAATTTAGCGGCCGATGCGTCAGTGGTCGGACATCAACAAAGGTCGCAAAGACAAGCCATAAACTGAAACCTGTTTCGCCGTGTCCGGTTTCTGAACCTGGACCAAAAGCAATTTGGGCGGCGGTCGTCCTTGGCCGAGGTCATGGCGCTCCAGCAGCACGTTGCAGAGAGGAGAACTGCGCACTGCGTCTGCTTTCTGCCGGCCGGTCCAGTCAATCTGCAAAGTGCCAGCCAAATGTGACAAATGAACGTCGTCCAAAACCGCAATTGCGCAATAAGGGACAAGGGTCGTCGGCACGCTGAACGAAGAGGTGTGATTCTTTCAACTCTTTCGACTTTGTCCTGTGTCGCTCTTTCCTGCGTTACGCAATTGCCTGGTGTTCGCTGGCCGATTGTTTGTTGATCCGACTGCCGAATTAGTTGCCAAGCCTTTGACTCTTTTGCTTGCATTCCTTTGGCGCTGCTGCCGTTTTTCCGCACCTCTCGGCGATTTCCCTTGCGCTTCTCTTATGCAGATGTGGCGTACAGACAAACGTTTGATGCTCATTTTGCAGATGCAGCAGTTCCTTGCTGGCAGAAATAATGCGAGCTTTGTGCTGGCTTCCTTGATTTGAGGGTGACATAGCTGGAATCCGGTTTGCCAATACTAGTTTGCTTAAGCAAACTTTGGCTAAGTGGAGGGTCCCGTGAAAACAGACCCGTGCTGTGCGATGCCAGTTGAAAGCGCCCTTTGCACCGCAAGACTCAAGCCTGCTCATCAAACATTTGTCCACTGGATGTGATGTGCACACCAGAACGGACCCCCTCATTTTAAAGTATGTCCGATTTCTTGTTGAATCGTCTAGCTCACTGCGGCTTGAAGCTCATGGCGTCACAAGGCGGAGGGCGGGGCTCGCTGCGAGTCTGGTTGGCTCGTTGCGAGTTTGGTTGATGGCTGGTGTGGTTGCAGCATCGGGGTTGCTGCCTCTCTTTTTTTTTTGCAATCTCTCTGTCTCTCTTTGTATCACTATTTTTATCTCTCTTTTGGCGTCTCTTTCTCTTTGTCTCTCTGCCTCCCTACCTCTGTGTCTCCCTGTTTCGCTGAGTCCCTTTCTCCCTGTCTCTCTGTCTCTCTCCCCCCGCGGAGCATGTTTACACAAGAAATCCAAACAACTCAAGACATTGGCTGTTTTGGAGGTTGTGGAGTTGCAGAGTGGCTTCCAAAAGGAAACCAAACTTCCCTTGGCAGTTCTGGAGTTTCGGTGTACAAAGGGGCAACCGAATTAACATGGCAATCTCCTTGAATTTCTGGAGCGTGGGTACAAAAGGGAAACAAAACAACTCTTGGCAGTTTTCTGGAGATCAAAACTAGCTTGCAAGGGGGAACAACATTAGTCTTGACAGTTTTCTGAAGTTTGGTGTTGGTTTACCAAGGGGTATAAAGCTACTCTTGGCATTGTGGGAGTTGGCTCGCTGAAGGGATGACAGCTATCCTTAGCTCTGGGTTGCCTGTTGCGAAATGGCCACCTTGCGTGTCAAACAAATCTGGCCCCATTTGCGTGGCATCCGCAAATATACAGTGTCAATGCCGGTTTAACGGAAAACCCAAACAATCTTTCAGAACCCTCAGAATGCAACTTCACTCGGGAAGGTCTAGCCATCTTCAGGCCCCTTGGCCCGCAGCAAGCCGAATTCGAGAAGTCCCTAGTTTCGAAGGGCAATTTGTGGAGTGCATGGTGGATATGGCAGTGTCTGTTGACCGGGTGTTGGCAAGCAGTACACCGTCAACTTGGCGAGAGGGAACCTGTGATCACCCTGCCAACCTTTGACTCACCTGGTTTCAGAAAACTGCTGCAAGTAGTTTTGTTCCCCTTGTTAAACCACCCTTGGCAAGCCAGAAACTCCGGACCACTGCCAAGGGCAATTTTGTTCCTTGTGAGAGCTCCGGAAACTTTGGAAAGTCGCCAGGAATCGCGGGTTTCCTCTGCAGGTCCAACAACTTCCGATAGGCCTAAACCAAACTTCCACACTCCGGACTGCCAAGAGCTGTTCTGTTCCTTTGCAAACATGCTTTGTGTTTACACAAAGCAACTTCTGCCAGTGCTGCGCATGAACTGGTTTCTCGCATGACAGACTGGCGGCCGCTCGAAGCCAAGAAGGCCCACCCAATGATCGTCGCATCGTTCGGGGGTCGACGTTGGGGAACATGTGCCCAACGGATGGTGTGTGGAAACGACATCAAGCACCTAGCGAAATTGAGGGAGGTCCGCGATATTTCCTTTTTGGTTTCTAGCTTCATCCTGGCGAGTTTACAGGGAGTTTTCTTTTGGTGCGCTGTTTGGAAAGAGGAACATATCGGAAGCCCTGCAACATCTGGCTTTGTCTCCAAAACGGGACATTACTTTTCGGATGGCAAAACAAGGTAGACTTGAATCCTAGGTTTAGAGTTATGGGTTGAACATTGATCAAGTGGCAGAAGGGACAGCGACTGAGCTGCCCGGGTTCGTCTCTAAAGGGGGAATCATCAAAATGCGTGTTGTCTCTTTGGTTGCCGTTTCAAACATCCTCAAAAAAGGTAGCGTCACAAATTGACAGACCCATTTGGTTTGAGGGTATTGTTGACCTAGGATTGATACACGCCAGGTTGATTTATAGGAGGTGTCCCAGTTCAGAGTGAGACAACTTTATGAGTCCGCAAGAAACAACCACCACCCTCTTGAAAGAAGTAGACCTGGCTTGTTGGGGTAGGGGTATGTTGGTTTCCAAGCAAAGTTCTTGTTTAGTTCTAGCTGAATTGGCAGTGCGGGCCTGGTATTGCTTTGGGATGGGTGGATCTGAGTAAGAATTTGGCTTGGGCTGTTGGGGAGTCAGGGACCCCGTGGTGGGTGCGGAATTGTAGAGTTTAAGCGATCCATCGGCTGCCCAGATGACTATTGTTTGTTTGGGGGGGGGATTCCGCAAACAAGGGCCAGATCAAACATAAATCTGTAAACAAAAAGAGACGCGGGTCCAAGCACTCAAGTTGGCCATCTTGGAGCAAATAATACTGTCCAACCTAATACATGTTAGATCAAACTGGAGGGGGCCCTCAAAGGGTCTTAACAAGCAGATTCTATCATGCACCACAACAACCCCCTCCCCCCCGAAAAAGCGTGTCTACCAGGCGACAAATGTGTTGAAAATGAAGCTTGCTGACTGCTGACTGTTGACTCCATCCCGCTTCTTTGTGAGGCTGCTACAGTTCGCCCTCAGGAATCCGTAACATCCAGAATTCCTGAACCAGGTCGGTCCGCGTGCCAAGGGAAACAGACTAAAGTACAAGAGTAAGAAGAGAGCCACATTTTCGAGGAGCCCACCGCTAAAAGGGGACTACACCCAATTCGGGATGCCCCGAGCTTTGGGGGGTAAAAAAGAAGAAACAATGAAACAGATAGACGCTGCACCCAACCCTTTGAGTGGATGGGCTGCGAAAACACAGCCTTGACTTTGTTTGCCACTAACTGGTTTTCCCGCAAAGGGGTAAAGTCGGAACTCGGGAAGTGAGGCTCCAAACATGCCATCCATTCCCTCGGACGCTTTCCGGGTCCCTAATCACACATCCAAACGTAACGCCAGATGGCCATTGAACAGAAAATGGCCCTTTCAAGGCAGATTGAAATGAACCAACTCACCACACTTCACGAGGCGCCACGAGTTTCGACAAAAAAGGAATAATATATATATATATATATATTAAGCAACAAGACCGAACGAACGCGGGGGCTGAACGGCGACTCCCAAGCTTGCTGAAAAGTCCATCGCCGCCCCGCCGAAATGCCTCGCAGGCGCCTTGGGATGCAAGAAGGCCTCCGCACGAGCTGGTCGGGGCCCATGGGCCCATGGCGCCGAGAAGTGGAGATCCAAGGACTAGAAATTTCAACGAGGTGGTCAAAATTGTGGATTTTTCCATCCGTTTTTGGTGGTTGTCCTCGTGGTTGGCAATTTTTCAGCGCTGCGCCTATGTTGAGTCCGCAAGTTGGGGTGTTGGGGGCTCCGGAGTCCGCTTAGAGCTGGGGTATTGGTTCCGGAAGGGAAGGAGAGCACTCCGAGCCATCCCTTCTGCCGATTTTGGAGCGAGCTGTTCAAGGTCCTTGAGGGGATCCCTTAGATCAGCTTTGGAATTCTAGCAGAAAATGCAGATCCCTTGCTTGCTCGAGCCCGGCTCAGGCTGTCGTCCCTGAGCCCGAGGTGGATCAGGAGACCTGTGAGATGGACTCGTGCATGGCCTTGCATTGAGCTGGTTGGAACTCCCACATTGGTGGACCACTCCCCCCCATGTAATTGATGTCCTCCAAAGGGTCTCCAGTTACCCAAATGCCAACAGCTCTATGTTGTTTTTTGCCGCACATGGGTACCCAAGTGCGCGAATGTGGCTTCTTTCAGCGGCCATGGTTGCAAAGAAACGATTCATGGACCAAAAACCTCGCTCTGAAGCCAAGAGACTTTGGATCTGACCCAAGAGGCTGAAATGAAATGCTTCTTCAGATGCGTCCAGCGTGGAAAGGGCGTCTTGGAAGGGGTCACCAAGGATGATGTCTGGCGCGATGTCCCGATGTCAGACCCCCGCAGGTGTTGCAAATGCTGTCTTTTCAAGGACAGGGCTCTTTTGAGCCGAGAGGCGGCGTATCTGGGGCAGCCAGCGAAAGGCGCTGTGCCTTTCGCCGGCATAGACGCGACGCAGGGCTTGGCTGTCGCCTTTGGAAGGCTCGATCTAAACCATCTAGGGCTCCAGCCACCTACATGGGGTTTCAGGACAGTTCGTGGCTTTGACATAGACGATGTCCTAGACGGGTTCTCTTTGCTACTGTGACCATCAGCAATGTGGACGTAAGGGCAGTGAGGAGTGCGAGAAAGCCTGACGTTGCGTACGGGGCGAATCGCCTTCAGCGTGCGGGCAAAAGGTGTCGGACTTGCTTGAACGCGAACATGGTTCTGGAGCTGTCAGGTGGACGTTCCTGGAATTTGGACGTCCCGTTGCCGGGCTCGAGCAACTGCCTGGGTCTTGAGCAACTTCGTGCGAGCCCAAGTGCGGCAAAGCCTGCATACCATGCAGTGTGGGTGGGCTGTCCAGCCAGAAGTTTGGTCGCTCGTAGACACGTTGTCGAGCTCTTCCGAGTGGAAGGTTGGCAGAACGTATGTCGATACGGCTTTACGAGCTGTGGAGAGAAATCAGAAGCACTTGCGCCAGTGGACCGACGGACTCCGCGTCCTGAGCGAGGGAAGTCCGCAAATGGCGCCTGAGGGAACTGGATGGTTAAAACCCTAAAGCAGACAGACTTTTTTTGCAAATCCGATCACACATGCACTCTTTCCGACTCAAGGCGCTTGCAGCCGAAACGCAGCCAGCAAATAGATGTGGAGCCAGCCTGGTGCAACCGCGTATATACATAGATGTATATATATATATATATATATATCTACACATGTATATCACACTCCTCTTCTCGCTCTCTATTTCTCTGTAGCCTGTCTATTTTTGGGATACCGATGCAGAAGGAATTCCACAAATGCGGCTTCGACCTCAGGAGCAGGAGTGGGAGTACATCATGCAGCTCTACGAAGAAAGCCGAAAGGCCAGGCTCTGTTTAAAAGCGCGCGAGGGGGTGGGGGGCGTGGGGGAGACAGGAAGGGGCCCTCCTCCTCCTCTTCGTTTTGCTCGGTGGTTTGGATTGGTTTGGGCATAAGGGAACCCTTGGTGAGGGGAACTGGGAAACCACCGCGTTCACCAAACCACGAGAACCTGAGCTGAGCATTGCCTTGTGGCCCCTGGAAAATATTTCGACCCGTGTATGACTTGCCCCAAGAACATACTTCTAGGGGTACCTTCCATTTCCATTCTTTCCAGGGATCCTTTCTTTCTAGACAACCTCCTCCGGAAACCCACGGAAAACGGCTGGTTATTGAAAAGAAGGATGGTTGAAAAGAATGGGGAATCAGCCCCTAGAATGTTTGCTTTTTTGGTGGAAACCTAAAAAGCTGTTGACTGGTTTTCCCAAAGTGCGAAGCAGTTGAGAGAGAGAGAGCCGGAGGCTCAGATCTTCGAGGAGGATAAGGAGGCGCAGCCCTACGAGGTGGACTGGCTGCCCTTGCAGGTCGGAGCCGGAGGTAGGAATTTTCGGGCGAGGTGAGTTGCCCCCCCGTTTTGTTTTTTTGGTTGAGGGGGAGGTGGGTGGGGTGGGTGTGGCAAATAGGTGACTCCCCATTTTTCTTTTGTTTTTGGGGTGGGAGGGGGTGGGTGAGTGGGCAAAATCACACATTCTTTTGGGTAAGGCTTGGGGAAATGGCGAGGCAGGCGTTTTTGAGAAGCCCCTTTCATTGGAACCTACTCCGAAAACTGGTTGTGGGTAATATTTGAATTTATTTTGTGCAGAACTAGTGAGTTTGATAGGCAGAACTGGTGAGAGATCCTTTACCCTTCTTGGGTCTCCTGGATGGACATGGGGGGGTCTCCTCTCAAAAGCCAAAGACCTAGAAGTACTTTGTGGGGCGCGCGTGCCTGCTCGCGTTCATTTTTTTTCTCTGTTGGAACGGCCCTGTGGAGTGGGGCCACGTGGGCTCCAAGACATTTCTGAGGAAAGCCTTTGTTGGGTTCATAAGCCTTGCGTCTTTTGCCCTTGTGTAAAGGTAAGACAACGCCATTTGTTTTTGAGGCATTCCCAATATGTCATTGTGCAAGGTCCCCTGTTTGTTGCTAAGCAGGCTACCCTTGACACTTGACACTTGACACACCCATATCAGGGAGTCCCCGCTGGTTGTGGTTCAAGTGTAGAGTTCCCACATGTTTCCCACATGTATCATTGACAAGCCTTCGTCTTCGACACACACCTGGTGTGCGAGGCATTTTTTTTTCGGCTCTTTGGTTTCGAGAACACAAACCACCGGCTCCTCGTTTTGAGGCGGGGGCGTCTCCTCCCCTTTTCCTTTCGGCGCGAAGCAGTGCGTTCGTCAGGGCCCGCTGCCCAGCGAGGCGCCGAGCCTGGAGGAGCTGCAGAAGGAGCTGAGGCAGAAAGCTGCCGGTGCTTTTTCGTGGTTTTGAAGGCCCTGGTTTACTATCTATGTTTACCTGGTAGATGGCCCTTTACCTGGTTGTTTACCTGGTGGTTTTTCTTCATCTACCAGGGAAACCCATCTATTTTCCAAAAAGGATATGCTCCCAGCAACAACCACGTTGCATGGGACGCCCGAAGAGCCGAACAAACGCCAGGACCCGGAATGCAGGAGGTTGCAACGAAGACCCGTGAGCCCATCATACCGGGGGGGAGGGAGCCAAAGTTGATCGGTTGAAGAAAATCCTGGGGAGGGGGTGTGGTCCATTTTAGACTGGTTGCAGACCGGGAACCACAACCTGTTTATGTAGGTTTCTCAGGATGGTTTCTGAGGGGTTGAAAGGAAGAAACGTTCTTTTTCAAGGGCAACTGTCGAGTTTTGCCCGGATGGCAATTCGCGGACTCGATGTTCGAATCACTCCGTCGCACAAGGGGATGGGATGGGGTGGGATTTCGCGAGGACACTTGAGGCTTGGGTTTCTCCGAATGGCCCAGCGCTTTGGGTTCCGGGGAAACGTGAAAGGAGCCCTTCCCATTTTAGGATGCACCGAGTCCTATTTGGAGACGCATGAGGAAGTTGAGTGGGCCGCGAGCAAGCTGGCCGTGACCCCGCGGGAGGGAAAAAGTGGCAGCTGCTTCCCAATCCGCTTGGCTGGTGGCAAATCCAAGGCAACTCCGCAGATTTTTGCATGTACCTTCCTCGGCACGTTTTTTGGCACGCGCGGTCGCTGAATTCCGAAAATCCCCACCTTGGGGACGCTGGACGGAAGGCCCCTGGCCGAAGCCAAGATGCCCGCCTTTGCCAAGGCGGGAGGAGTGGAGAGTCTCTAGAGGGCAAGACATCACTCCGGAAAGGCCATTGTAGCCATCTTCCACTGTGGCTGCGGGAGGCTCTTTGACGGAAAGCAGAAGCTCGTTTTGGGGCCACCGAACCAAGCGACAGACCTGTATCCTGCCGGTGTGCTTTGGACCGCCCCGACATCCAGTCCAAAAGCCCTTCCTAACAAGAGCGCAGACTTACACGGCATGTGCCTCAGTTTTCACCGGCATCGCTTGGCTTCCACGGTTTGGATGTGACAAAGCACCTTTTCGGAGTGGCCCAGCTGGACTCTTTCAGGTTAGCGCCGGGCCTCGCGAAAATTTCCTATGCCATGAATCGGTTTCTCTCTGGAACCCCAAGGTCTTCATGGCGACCCCACAGACTGCATGGACTGGGTATGGCGCTTTGCCCTGGAGAAAATAAAATGGGTGTCCTGCTTTGGGAGGGGTATTTTTGTGTTGGGAGAAGCTTGAAAGGGAGACCAGCCCGACGGGGGAAGCCACCCCTCCTGGCTCCCCAATCTGACAAGCCCATGTCGGGCTAGAGTCATGCGCGCAGTGCTCGAAGATCTGAAGGCATGGTCATTTACACAGCGATCTAGCGTGTTTGCCTTCAAGAGAGCCATGTACGGTCAACAGAGAGTCACCCATTGCACTTTTCAACGTTATTGCCACGCATGCAGACACATGCTTTGGAAACTCTGGTCACAGCCCTCCCATGAAAGTTTCAACTTTTTGCAGACCCGACATCACTGATATATTTCCGATCTTGGTGGTGCAGCGCAGTCTGCCAACCCAAATTTCGTGACCGGAATCTCCTTTTGGAGGAAGCAGCCTGCTGGGTTGGGTTGCTTCTGCGGGGACTTCATTTGCGGACTTTCAAAACGTCAGTGGCCCTTTGCGCCATAAAGTCTCCAGAGTTGTAGTGAGCCCTCAAGACACTGATTCACAGCTCCCAGGCATGCACTTCGGACTATAGTTCGAGGGGGTTTGTATGACATATCCGGAGTTTCAGTGCATCGTTTGCTTTCATGCAAATTCCGAAAAAGAGGGTCCGTTTTTCGTTCGACACCTTCATATGGCCAGATTTTCCCAGGTGAAGTACGGTGACAGGCCGGGTATGGGCGGGACGGGGTTCATCCACCAGACCGCTCTTGGCTTGGGTGCCCTTTAAAAGAAGCAAGGCGCTTGTGCAAGGACCAGGGGAATTTAAGGGCCCGGCCAAAAAAGGATGGGTTCCCTTTGGCTTCACTTGACACCAAGCCCAGAAAAGGATACCGGGCCTATTGGGTGTCCCAAGCTTTGCGAATGAAGATCGATGCGTTCCATGGCTTCTCAGCTGCAACCCATTCTGCCAGAGTCATGACGCAAACCTCAAGCGCCGGGTGCGTTTGAGAGCGCGAGGTAATTCAGAGCATTGAGCATGGAACAGCATGTCGCGACGCCGCACGCGCGAGTGTGTGTGTGTGTGTGTGGATCATCCTAGTTCACGGATGGAAGGCTTCACCGCCAAGATCATGAAGCTCAATCACGAATCTCGATCACAGGGGGCAGAGGTGCCCATGTCACTCCCTCTGCCAACGAAGCTGGGTGACATGTGGCAAGGATATGATCCAGGGGCGCCTGAATCACGTACCGTTGACCTTTATCTTGACCCCGCACATTTGGTACAGAGCCTTTATGATGTGTTGATTGTTGATTTCTAACCCCCCTGGCTCTCGGATGTTCCTGATCCTCTGTGTTGATTTCCGAAATGCAAATTCTGAAGCTTATGAGACCTTTGTGACCTTCCACATTCCAAAGTGTGTGTGTGGAAAGCTTGAGTTTCCAGGGCCATTTCCATGATGCGAAAGTGCTTTGGAACCATCGTTAGGACAAAGCTGTGGGAATGGCCGTTTTTGCAGGACAGGGCTGAGTTGGGCGCGTGACCTGAGGTCTACACGGCTACACGCATGTCATCTCAAGTTAGAAGTTTCTGGGGTGGTCAGGTCATCAGAACGAAGGTCGTCTGCAATGCCCCCCCCCACACAACATGCATGACAGAATTATTTCCCACACATGGTTTTTGATCCAAAGGTCCTTTGCGAAGGTGGAATCTCGACTGTTTGGCCTACATGAGTTTACCTGCTGTACCTAAGGCCTTTGCCAGCGTTTCAACCTGAAGAGCGGATTTTTTGGGGCTCTTGAGCGAGAGAGTCTTAGAAGTGGTTGGTTGCCCTGCCAGCCGCGGTCGGAGGGGCTGCGGAGGCTCGCGTTCGACTCAGGACCTACGAGTGCCTGGTGGGCGAGCACACTTATGCAAAACAGGCTGCCGGGGGGGGGGGGGGGTTGGCCATCATCCGGAGAGTTCCGAGGTCTGGTGTAGACTTGTGATTTTTTCTCGTTCCAGCTGGTTGTTGTTCTGATTTTCAACTGGTTGTTTGCTGTCAATCTAGTGATTTGCTGCCAGTAGAGGTCCAGTTTCGGGGGAACGAGTTGGGGGGCGCAGTCTCGAGACATTCTTGACGCTTCGGTGCGGTCGTACGGCCGCCCAAGGTTTGCAAGTTCCGAGGTTGCAGTGAGGGAGTCGCATGCCTTGAAAGGAGTTTCGACACCCTTGAAATGGCTGGTGTTCCCTTCAAACTTCCAAACGGAAATTTGAATAGTTTCTTAGTTTTCACGAATTTCTAATTTGAAGGTGTCGTCAGTGAGTTGCACCAGCGGATCACTTCGCGGTTTTGCCGAAGCGGAGCATTGGTTGAGCAACCTTTGCCCTTTTGCAACTTTACGGGTGTATTTGGACCCCCGTTGTGTAGCGGAAACCATCAACCAAGGATCCCCAGATTTTTTAGACATATCAAAAATTGTCCACGATTTTTCTGCCTGGCTCTTTGACGAGTGGCTGCCCTGGCTGATTCCAGGACTATTCCATTTTTTGCTAGTTGCTTCACACTTGCGGTATATCTCCCAGAACTTCTGAAGTCAGCGGTTTCATCTTGGTTTCCTTGTAGTACCAAGCAAGCCTAAGAGTTCTGTGGTGGTTGCATGACATACGCCAAAAGCCCTGCCAACGGCCATGGTTCATGGATTGCCGGGAAGTGCCACCCCTTCTGCAGGAACACTTGGACCTCATCTCACATGAACGCCTTTGAAGGCAGCTCATGGGCGACTTCTGTTGGCCCGAGATCACCACGCCGGTCGCGATGCGCCGAGCAAGTGGAGACGCAAAGGTCGTCGACAATTGGCCGCCATCAAGTCCTTGCTGCTATGTGGGCGGCGGCGACTGTTCTAAGGTGGCCTTCTAAAGTTTTTTCGAACTTAAACTGAGGGCCTGTTTCTGCTTTCTCTAGCCCGTCCTGCTGGCTTGGGTCCTTTGGTTCAATAACCCCAGACCTCGGTGCCGCGAGCCCGTGGAGGGGGTGACGTGAGCTGTGTAGGTCTGTTGAGTGACGTCAGGACAAAAAAAAAGAAGGTGAAAGTGCCCTTGGCTTTCTCAACTGCCGTCAAAACAAAACACTGCCATATTGGGCATGTGATAATCCCTACTCAGCGCCCGCTTCAGGACAAGACTGTGAATGTCTACCCCGTCCTAAACGTGCAGCAGGCCTGGACCGATCGCAAACGGGAACTTTGCAGGCGGAGCATTTTTCTGGCAGCAGACCTTAGACAACGAGAACCATGGGTGGCCCGCGAGCATATCAACTAGTGAGGGTTGAATTCAACCATGTCTGTGTTTTCAAGCCAGAATGCATGCCGTGGAGTCGCAGCAAAGAGAGTCTCTGTGTGCAAGCTTCTTGGCGCCAGCCAGTTCTGCGAGTTTTGTGCGCTAGTATACCGCAAGCGTGTGTGTGTGTGTGTGTGTGTGTGCGTGTGCGTGTGTGTGTGTGTGTGTGCGTGTGCGTGTGCGTGTGTGTGTCTGCAAGTTCCTTTCGCAGGACTTTTGGGCGAACTTCTCCGCCCAAGCTCTCTAGGCAAGTTAGTTTGCACCTGTTTTTCGGCTGAGGTTTATCTGCTCAAGTTTGTGTGTCAAGTCCGCGATGCAAGTTTGTTTGCGCAAGCTGTCTATGCAACTTGCTCTTCGCAAGTTTGCTTTCGCAAGTTCTCGACGCAAGTCTATCTGGGCGAGGTCTCGCGCATGTTCCTCAGTGCAAGATCATTTTGCATGGTGCTCCGTAGTAGCTATCTCCCTGCAAGTTGCTCTGTGCAAGTTTGGTGCATTGTTCTCGACGCAGGCAACCAGGCCGATCCGCACAGAGGGTCGTGCGGGCAGCGCGAAAAGTAGCCAAAACATCAAACCGCAAACACGCCGACCCATGAACGGGGTCAAGTTTTTTGCGAGTTGACCACGCAAGCCCAGCAGCGGCAAGAGTTTACAGTTTTGGAACATCGACCACGCCGATCCCGCGCACGAAACGCACAAAAGCAGCAGACAAATACAGTCTTTGCGTAATCTCAGCAGGGGGTGGCAAGGGCATAGGCAAAAGTCAGACAGAATCCTCAGTTTTTTGGACATCAACAATGCCAATCCTGCGCCGCCTTAAAGACGTTCGATGAATTTCGAGCCCACGTTTCTCGTGCACGATGTCCTGCTGCGCATGTTCTTTTGCTCAATTTGCCATTGTGCGCCCAGTCCGGGGCCAGGACACATGAGGGGAACACGCGAAGACGCGAAGACGCGAGAGTTTTTCGAGGCGTCGAGGTGTCAGGGCGTTTGGGAAGATGCGAAGACTTTCAAATTGCTTTCAGCTTTGGCATATATAAAATGTAATGTGACGCACTACCGAAAGCCATGGGCATCCCCAGGATGCCACCGTGACCCCGTGCTGCTCCAAAGGTTTCGTGGCTTTGGAGCTTCTCTCCAAGGCCTGCAGCGGAGAAGACTTTAGCCTTGTTCGGGAAGCATATGAGACGCTCCAAGGCAACTAGTTTGCCCTGTAACAGAGCGAGCAGCATGCAGAGCCGCTGGTGTGACAAAGTACGTCGCCGTGGCGCTGGTGCGCTTGAGACGAGCAGACACGGGCCGCTGTGTTGTGGACAGCTGGTGAGCAACGCTTGGATTGCTGAAATAATGCTTCGCGGTGGTTTTGTTTGCCCAAAAAGGGCTCAGTGATGGGAAAAGATGAACTCTCATCCGTTGTGGTGGTTTTCTTTGAGGAACGCTTAAGAACAGTTATCCTCTGCGGTGGTTGTGTTTGCTCAGAATGCGGGTCAGTTACGGGGCAGGACATGAACTCTAATCCCTTGCGCTGATCTTGGTGGTCTAAAAGTACGGGGAAGGATAAGAGCTGTTATCCGTTGCGGCGGTTCTGTTTGTCTACAGAGGTGCAGTCACGGGAGAGGATAAGAAGCCATACGCCAAGGGGTGGTTGTGGCAGCTTACCAGGGGGTCCAATCATGGGAAAGGATGCGAGCTCTTATCCTTCGCGGTGGTTTTGATTGCCTGGAAGGGGTGCAGTTACGGTAAAGCGCACGATTGGTTATTCTTTGCGGCGGTTTGGTTTGCCTGAGGAGGGTCCAGTTGCAGGAAAGGATTAGAACTCTTATCCTTTGCGGTGGTTTTGTTTGCTCAACAGAAGGTCCAGTCACCGGAAAGGATAAGAAGTCTCATCTTTGCGGTGGTTTTGTTTGCCTGGAAGTACGGGAACGGACAAGAACTTATCCTTTGCTTGCGGTGGTTTTGTTTGCTCAACAGGGGGTCCGGTCAGGGGAAAGGGGGGTCCAGTCACGGGCAAGGAAAAGAAGTCTCATCTTTTGCGGTGGTTTTTTGCAAAAAAACCTTCCAGTCACGGGAGAGGATAGGAGTTCTTATTCTTTGCAGCGGTCATGGGAAGGATAAGAACTTGTATCCTTCGAAGCGATTTGGTTTGCCTGAAAGGGGTCCAGTCACGGAAGACGGTAAGAGGTCTTATGACTTGCGGTGGTTTTGTCAGCTTAGAAGGGGGTCCAGTCATGGGAAAGGACAAGAACTCTTATCCTTTGCGTTGGGTTTGCTTGGCCAGAAGGGGTCCAGTCAGGATGGCCGACTTTCCACATCCGACGAGGGGCCGGTGTGAACATGAAACCTGAAAACCGCCGGGGAAGACGCGAAGACGCGAAGACGCACGCATGTTTCGAGGCGTCGGAGTCGGGGCGTCGGGGAAGACGCGAAGACGCGAAGACGCGAGAGTGTTTCGAAGCGGGCGAAGATGCGAAGACGCGAGAGTGTTTCGAGGCGTCGTGGTGTCGGGGCGTCGGGAAGACGCGAAGATGCGAGATTGCTTGGAGGCGTCAGGGCGTCGGGGAAGACGCGAAGACGCGAAGACGCGAAGACGCGAAGACGCGAAGACGCGAAGACGCGAAGACGCGAAGATGCCAGTTGCCACGCATTCTCGAGGCGTCGAGGCGTTGGGCCGTCGGCCCACCTCAGGCGCACACTCCAATTTCCTGCGCAAACTTGCTGTGCGAATTCTCTCGCAAATTTTTTAGGACCAACATGGGCGTGTGGATTTCATTAGTTCTGTTTTTTAGGAGAAATTATCTGAAACTATTTATAAAAATCCCAGAAACTATTTGAGACTATAAGAATCCCAGACTGTTTGAGACTATGTATATAAAAAACCGCCTAGACACTGTTTGAGACCATTTATAGAAGCACAGCAAGAAACTGTTTTGAGACTATTTGTAAAAAAGAAGCAGGCAACCGTTGGTGTATGTGCAAAAGTAAGGGCCTTATTTGAGCAAGAAGGCAGAGAAATGGACACTGTCTATAACCATGTTTTAGGCACTGGGCGCTTCTGGACCTTTGGGTCCAAAAACAAATAGAACTTACCTCAACAAACGGAAACTAGTTGAAACTATTTCTTTAAATTTAGGAAACTATTTGAAACTGTTTGTAAATTGCAGGAAACTATTCGAGACTATTTTTACAATTCCTGGGCAATACTTGAAACATTGTTTTCTTAATGTTGGTACTTGAAACTATTGATAAATGTTTAGTAAGCTCTCCGAAACTAGTTATAAGCCGACGTCTGGAAGCTATCTGAAACAGTTCATAAACAAATGAGTTAACTACGTTGAAAGATGCATAACCACACAAACTACTTCTGAAATTTGGAGAAGCTATTCGGAGCCAGTTTCGAAGGTTGTGCGTTTATTTACATGTATCATTTGGTATTCCCATTGGTATTCCCAAACAGCAAGGGAATACTGAGTACAGCGACAGCAAGGAAGTAAATCGCCTTGAGCCGCCCAGTTCTGCAATTCTTTGCCTTGACAGTGTGAGCTCAAGCTGTTTCCGCAATGTGGGGGGGGGCAGAAGCTTAAGTGTCATGTCTGCGCTGGTTGTTAGCATTATTTCGGAAGCGGGTTGAGCGGCAAGGGGCCTTGCCCAATTGAACGATTTGCGAGGACGAGGTGGGCGCAGACGGTTCGTCAGCATTGAACTAACCATTCTACACAGCATAGCTGCCACACATTGTAGTTTTTGTGTGTTGCTGGTGCAGTGGCATTTTGCTGTCTGTGTTCTCTCTCCAGTTTGCTGACCGGTTTCTCTCATGCAATTTGCCGTGTATGTTCTCTCGCGCAGCTTGCTTTGCACATGTTCTCGTGTTTGTTGCTCTGCACGCGCTCTCGAGCCTCTTGCTTTGCATGTGCCCTCTTGTGCGTCTTGCTCTGCGTGTGCGCTTGGCTTGTGCGCTCGGGCCTCTTCACTGTAAGTTGTGCAGAAGAGCCCTTGGCAACTTCGAGACTTTTGGCAGAGAGGAAGTTACTAGAGAATTGCTTGACATTCTGTACATTCCTGCCGGAGGAAGATGTGCCATGTTTTTTGACACATGCTGCCTTCGGTTTTTTTGGTCGTTCGGACAAGTTCCAAAAAGGGCTCAAGAAAACTAACCCTAAAACCTAAAAACTTTGCCCAAAAACCGTAGATCTACGTCCGCCCAGAAAAATTTAAGCTGAAAACGCTAAAGCCCCAAACCTAAACCCGAAAAAAGAAACCAAACCTGAACCCTAACCGCAAACCCAAGTTCTTAAGAGCGCAGACCTGACCCTAAACACCCCAAGCTAAAACCGCACAAACAAACAAATCTAAACCCTAAACACAATAAAGCCGTTCAACCTAAACCCTAAAACTGTAAGTTTCAGTCTCAAAAATCTAGCCTAGACCCTTAAAACACCTTAAATCTAACCCCAAAAACCCGAAACCTAAGCCTTAGCAGCTCGAGGCATCATGGGGCGGAACTCATGGATTGGGGCATTGCGCATGTTCCGCGGAAGGCTGGAGGGTAGGCCCACCTCATTTTTCTGGCAAACAAAACAAACCATGTAAATTGATCCGATTGCGGAGCGCAGGAGATGGTGGTGCCCTTCGATGATTGCAGCTTCTACCACAGGCAAAGGTTTTCTCAGGGAAGAAGAGGTGGTTCATGAGTCCTTGCGACGTGAGACAAGCCTTGGGCCCTTCTCCTGTGGGGCCCCTTCAATGATCTTTGAGGGGAAGGTTTCGCATTGTGAGCAAGTGTTCTGTGAGTCCCGAATCGGAGCCAAACCTCCATCACCTTTTGCTAAGGGGTTCCTTGTCTAGGGAACTTGTGTGTGCCCTAAACACATCACCTTCTAAGTCAATCACCTTTACTGGGGCAAATGATGCTTGAATTGCCCCGAAGGGGACATGTAAGGACATATTTGTTTTCCAAGGAAACCACTGCTGATGCATGTACGAATGTTGAGCAGCTACACTACCGAAGTCTGGTACCTGCGCGTGTTTTCGGGAGAGCCTTGGTTCTCGACTGGTTCATGGGGACTTCCGGAAAGGTTAGCAGTCTTGATCATAAGCTTTGAGCAGATGTGTGAGGGACATCGGGGAGAATGTAGATTTCCCACAATGCTAGCGGTCTTCGGTTTCCCTGCTTGCCGGTCATACCTTGTAAATGAATTCCCAAGTGAACACTCAAGACCCGCATGGGGTTCTGCCGATGAGGCATCAGCAGACCAGCAGCAGATGATGCGCGAGACAAGAAAGCCTGCTCGGCGTTGAGGCGTTGCACGGAGGTGGCTGCCTGCGACAGTGCCTGTGCGACCGCCGTCGTGCTTGCATGCCTGCCGGTTGATTGCGAGGATGGGCAGGTGTCTGGGCCGCAGGCAAACGGGTGTTTGCTTGATTGATTGCTTGCTTGCTTGCTTGCTTGCTTGCTTGCTTGCTTGCTTGCTTGCTTGCCGTGTTGTTTGTTTGCATTTGCGTGCGTGCGTGCGTGCGTGCGTGCGTGCGTGCGTGCGTGCGTGCGTGCGTGCGTGGGTGTGTGTGTGGATCATCCTAGATCACGGATGGAAGGCTTCATCGCCAAATTGATGCTTTGTGAGTCAGGGGGTGCAAGCAGCCCGTCCGGTCTTGCACCAAGGAAGATACCGGATGTGTGCTGGTGATATCACTGGGGACGCTCAGTGACGTACCTGCAAAAGAGCCACCTTGTCTGGTGTGTTGCGCCGTTGCTTTACAAGGACCAATGGCTTGATGGTTTGTTTGTTTGTGTTGTTTTGTTTTGTGTTGCTTTCCGAAACGCCCGTTCATCAATAAATCGCCACGGGGCACCAGAGATTCTACGTCCCCGGACCACACATCGCGCTCGCAGCCATGATCGGCGACGGGATCACACCACGCGCTCCCGCGGACGCGACCGCCGTGAACGTGACCCACAAAATCGACAACCTCGGCAATTGCATCATCACAGCCCCGTTCTAGTTATTTGCGGACAGGATGTCCTGCTCCAACCAGGCGCCCAGCTTCACACACCAGCCTTACCACCCATTCCAAAGCTGGCAGCCGGCACCAGAACCGATACCGAATGTTCACCTTATTTTCAGCAAATGCCGCAGCCGTGCACCGACTTTGCTCAATCTATCTATCAATCTATCTAAATCTTATTTCTATGACCGCTGGGGCTCAAAACACAAGGCCAGTAAGCATACTAACAACGGAAACTTGCAGCGAACACCTGCAAAAACCGCGGAAACCGCGAAATGGCAGAACACGCGAAAATCGCAAAAGCCACGAAAACCGCGGAAACCGCGAAAACGGCAAAAACCCGAAAACCGCGAAAACCGCAAAAACGCGAAAACTCGAAAAAAATAAAAACAAATCTGCGAAAACTGCCAAAACCCGAAAATCGTGAAAAACACGGGGAAAAACGAATCGCAAGCATGGGAGAACGGTGAAAAGGCGCAGGCTTCACGGAAAAAGGCGAAAGCCACGAGAGCCAGCAACGGAGTTTTCTTTGTTTCTCGGTTTTCTCGGTTTTCTCGGTTTTCTTGGTTTTCTCGATTTTCTCGGTTTTGTCGGTTTTCTCGGTTTTTTCGGTTTTCCGGTTTTCTCGCGCGAATCCGGTTAGCTCCGTGTCGCTTAAAACGATTAGCATACATAGACCCATTGAATTTTTGCAATACTTGCCTGTGCCAGAGCCAGTCACGTTCCGTGCAGTCTGAACCCAGAACAAGCTCCCCCCCCATTTCAAGCTCTCCGTCCGGTCAGGCTCGAGATGTTTTTCGTTGACGTGGAGTTGGACTGGGTGCATGTCCTCTTTCTGGCTTCAGGGTTGAAACCCGATGCATTCTAGTGGTTAAGTTTGAGTCAGGTGTATACACATAATCTATGTATGTATATATATATATATGTGTATATATATATATGCATATATATATATATATGTATACGCATCTTATGCGTATATGTATGCGGCTAACGCCTAAGGTAGTTGCACAAACACAGTGAGCTAGCTTCTGTCTGCGGTTTTTGCTAGCTCTTGCGACTCTTGCGGCCGCCATGGCGCGGTGGCGTCTGCGTCTTGAGGACTTCGGGCGGCGCCAGGAGCGGGCGGGCGGATCCCGAGGATTCCGCGGGTTGGCTCCAAGAAACGTCCCGAAACGGGAGACTTGGTGCCATGTGCTGGAGGTCTGGAGAAGTTTTATCTTCCAAACTTTCATGGCACCTGACGGAGGGCAGAGATTGATCTTCCAGGTAGCTGTCACAGGTGCCATGTTGGGAGGACATGTTTCGACAACACTTTGACCTTTGCCCCTGTCCCCGATTCGCCTCGGACCAGATTCAGCTTGCCTTGGCTCTCAGGAGGGTCCCAGCCAAACCAGTGAAGCCTGGCACCAGCCCCGTTGGGCAGCGCGCAAAGGCGAGTTCGCCTTTTGAATTCGCGGGGAAAAAAAACCGACTTGGGGAATGGAGTTTCTGGCAGAATGCCCAAAGCGAATCGGCCATTTAACCGTTTGGGTTTTCTTTACTTAGTGCTTTTGCCGTAGGTTGCACTCGCTTGACCTTTGATTTCTCGGGTCCTTTGGGCAGAGCTGTACCCAGAGAGGGATGTTTAGGAACCCAATGGATTCAACCCCTTGATGAGTTGCGTGCCCCATGATCATCCGACGGTGCCTACTTGACGGTTTGAGTTGGCGGTTTGGAGCTTGGCAAAAGGTGCTTTTCATTTGGTTTCGGGAAGAGATTGGGGTTGGTAGCACTGAATTGGCACAACCACCATGACTTTGTTTTCATGGCTTGAAAGGGCACTTGAATTGGGCCCATTGTGTTGAAACATCAAATTGAGCAGCGCCCAAACTCTTGGGGCAGGTTTAGAAGAGGGCTCTGTCCTGTCTTCGGGATGAACAAAAAGGACATTGGCCATGGAAGAGCCAGCAGTCAGTTTGGGCTTTGCTTAAGCGGTGCTTTGGACTGTGGGTTTGAGCACCTGCCCAGTTCCGGGAGAAAGATGTGAAGGTCGCCTCGCGTGACATCTCCCACCAAGTGAGAGGATCCAGGGCCGAATGCTTCAAGGGTCTTGCGCGGCTCATTTCTTCCTCTCGGGGCTTTCAGGTTGTGAACTGACGTCGGATCCGAAAGAAAAAAAGAGAAGAAAAAGGACTCCTGGCAAATGGGAAAGCCTGCAAAGTCACGCCCAAAATGGCCAGCTTGAAGGGACATGAGCCCAAGAAGTCTTGATGGCCGTGTCATGGTGCAAATCCTGCTTGCCTTGGGGTTACGAGGATTGACCCTTCAGCTTGGACCAACTTCCTCAAGATTCGCACCGTGCACCGGAGGCAAACACATGGGACGAACCCCACGGGAACTTTTCAAAAGGCCACACGTTTGTTTGGCACCTGCAGAATCCGCCCAAAGGCGGCCTTTGGGCGGGTCTTGAGAAGTTAGACACCTCACCTTGTTTGGCTAGCAACGTGGCGGTTGGGTCTTGAACAGTTAGACCTCACCTTTCTTTTTGCCTTGAAAAGTTAGGCCTCACCGTTTTTTGCTCCCCTTCCGGACCCCTTCCGGACCCTTTCCGTCCTCCAGCGGGTGACCCGTCCGTCGGTCTCGGAGCAGGCGACGAAGATCGGCCCTGCTCCCGCACCTCGCGGCCCAGTTCCGCGCGCACGCCCTCGCCGGCTCGGGGCCCGGCTTTTGGTTCATTTGGGGTGTCTCTAAATGGCCGCGTCGTCCTTTTCTGGGGGCCCCCCCATTTTTAAAGGAAAACCAACCGAACAAAACAAAAGCAAAAACTAAAGGCGGTTTTTCCTTGGTCGTTTCCCTTGAAGCGCAGCACAATGCGGGAGCCGGAGGCCAAAAGAGGCCAAGAGGGGAGTGCTAAAAGGACCCTTTTGATGGGTCCTTCTGTCTTTTTTGAGATATCTGAAATCTCCTTGTGGCAGGTCCCTGTAAGAAATGCATGTTGATATCAAACCTTTGTTTCGCGAAGTTCACCCCCGACTGGAGTGCTATCCCCCAAAGAGGGGAAGGATCTCCCAAATGGGACCAACCCTGGACGGAGTTGAGGGGCAACTCGCGACTGCTTGTTTTCTCCTCCCTCCTGATCGTTTTATTTTTATTTTATTTTGGGGGGGAAGGGGTTTTCTTCTGAGACCATGGTAGTGATTGTGGGATGGTCTTTATTGTAGAGCAAGCAGGTTATAGCTCTGAGAGTTTGCATCAGTTTGGCCCAGTTAGAGTCAAGCATCTGTTTCCCAACCCTTGGACTTTTGGTGTCTTTTGGCGATCGTTTCAAGGGCTTCCATTTCAAGCATGCACCTCTGGAGTTGGTGGGGATGGCTTTCGCCAAGAGGTGCAACTTGAAGAGGGGGTTCTCAATGAGACAGCGGTTTACAAAGCCCGGCGCCCGCTGCAGGAATCCAGGTTGTCGTGGCCACTTCAGCACAATATCTCTCTCTCTCTCTCGTATGTGTATACATATATATATATATATCACAATGTCATTAGGGAAGCACCAGACAAATGAGCAGAGAGCAGAGACTTGCGAGCCTGAACACCTGCAATCCGCCTCTCAGGTTTGCTTGATCTTGTTTTCTTATTTGGTCTGACCTTCGCCGGCCTTGCGCCTTTAGCCTTTTGGATCAGTTTTCCCGCCAAGTATCGACATGTCTCTTTTTTCCAAACCACCCAGGCACCCAGTGCCTCTCTTTTGTCTATTCCTTTGGAGAAGGGGTTCTCTTTCAATTCGCCGGACCAGGAAGGGTGCCCTCCCCCACAGGCGCTGCGTTTTGGTGAGGTGTTGTCGAGCCCAGCGCCTCCCAGCGTCAGAGCAGGCGGGGTGTGCGGCCAGGGAAGCCAGCAGAAAGGATTCAAGCGAGCTTGCTTTGGCTGGGCTGGGCATAGAAGGAAGCTGCAACCGCGGGACTCGGGTTTCTTTTGGCTTCCTTTGTAGTATTAGGAGTAGCAGCAGTAGTAGCAGTAGTAGCAGTAGTAGGAGTAGGAAGTAGTAGTGGTAGTAGGAGTAGTAGTTGGGCATAGTTAGTTCTAGGTCAGCGAAAGACTGGTCAGTGCCATCGATTTATCCAACGCACCTAGGCACCAATTTATTTCGTTAGACTCGCGTGGCGCGCTGGGAAAACAAAGGAGCAGCAAAACCCCATGACTGTGGTGTCTTCTTGGACAGGCAAATGCAGGCGACCCTGGATGCAACCTTGCGTAGATCCACGACCCGAGTGAGTTCTGGGTGTACCTTTTCCTTGGTTTGAAAATTGGGCCTGCTGGGTTTTTGCTTTGCAACCTCATCCATGAAGGTACCAAGCAGTTGCTTGGGTCCCTGAAATCGGGTTGGCGCATTATCACAAACACCGCTTGGAAAGTGACAAGGACTAGCATGGGCCTTTGCTCCATTTCCGCATGTTGGGACTCCGAATGGATTCGCTCTTTCGGTCAGGGGGCCATGTAGAGACCTGGGCGACCAGGGTGGAACGCAGAGGCCGGGTTTGGAGACGCAGCCAAGGGTACTCTCCAGATGAACCTTGAGCCCAACAAATAATCCTTCGTGGGGGAGACCCCGCTGTCTATGACCGTCCCTCCAGCAAAGTGTGTGTTGTAAAGGGAACCCCCCCGAAAGAAGCTGGAGAAGCTCTCCAAAGCGATCGCTTGCAGGGACCCAGGAATACCCCGCAATGAAATCAGATGCCCGGTTTGAACTTGGCGACGCGGATCAGTTTTGGGAATGGCGCTGCCAAACATCTTCGTTTCTTGATTTGGGTTGCCAGTAGCAGTTTGTTCATGGCCAGCTGCGAGTGTTCATTTTTGCTTTCTGTGACTGTATCTTATGCTCTGTGATCAAAAAGAGGCGCTTGAATTCCCGGCGTCATCTCACTTCGCCGCGAGATTGTTTCCCCCTCCTAGGCTATTTTTAGATTGTTTTTTGAGGTAGTAATTACTCAGTGTGTAGGAAAGCCTCCCTGGAGACAGATTCCGTTTGGGCAATGTCTCAGTCTGGGCGCCTGTGCCACGTTCGGCTCAGGTTCCGTGTTTTATTTCGTGCAGTTCAGGCCTTTCGGAATGGACTTCCTGGGAAAAGTGGCAGTTCTTGAAACCCGTTCTACCAGAGAACAAAGGGAAAAACACACCCATCCAAACCACCAATTCTTGTTTTTCATACCAATCCAAACCACCAATCCAAACCAATCCAATTCGAGGTAAGGCATATTTTTCCTTGTTTCGGCACGGAGTCCATTTCATTTGGCACCCGGCAGACCGCGGCGAGCTTCCCGTGACCTACGGCTTGAAAGCAGACAGCGGCCAAGGCCTAAGACTCGACGCGCGACTGCTCGCTCCTTGTCGATGCGAATACGGTGGACGCGAAATCCTGCGCTACTCACTTGGAAACCACGGTTGAAACCATTGTTGGTTGGTATTTACAGGGTCATCATCAGGCAACCATGGTTGAAGCCAAAAAGGTTGGCTGGTAATCGAATCAGAAACCGTTGGGTTTCTGAATGGTGCGAAATGGATTTCGCCCATCACCATTTCTGGTAGTCGGTGTTGGTGTTGTTATTTTGGCGGGGGCATGGTACCCAGTTTCCACGGTCTTCTCGCAAAATCTGGGGGGCCTACCCAACTGAACCAAGTGTCTCATGCAGAGTTGGCCAATAGGGTCACTAGGTTTTCCACTTAAAAGACTTAGGGGACACCCCCTAGCCAAAAGTGCGGGCAGGCATGCATGAATGTATACAAACAGTATTCCCTCACCAGTCCTGCCCCTTGAAAGGTCCAGAACCGGGTTCAGCACAAGGGGCGGAGCTAGCAATTCCATTCACGGTTTGAGAAGACCAAAAGAGAGTTGGGTCCATCACTCTGAATGGTCACCTCCGAACGAATTTTGAGAACTCCATCCAAATGTTCGCTTGGGGCTCAGCAAATTGGGCGATCTCCGATCTCTTCCTTCGAAACCGGGGTGAAACAAAGGATTCCCGGGCAATGTAGGTCCTTAAAAAGGCCTGAATTAGAGAGTCTCACTGCAACAAACATGGAACCCAGCTTGTGCCTTTTACTGGCAGTTCCGGTCTTGGGCCCACAGATTTCTTATGGCGACGGGGGGTACCGGACCTCCATTGAGGTAAAGGCTCGCTGCTGCCCAACTACGACCTCTGGGTCACCCTGCATGGGGGGAACGGGCGCTGGCAGCAGGCCTCGGTGATTTGGTCCTTCGGAATCCGGGCCGGAATCAGGGGTTCTCAACTTGTCCATTTCAGAGGGAAAAGGTTCGAATTAGACGGTCCGGATTCAATCCGAGACTGAGATTGAGATTAGAAAGTCCCAGCCAGAAATAGGTGCGGATAGCCTTTGCGACTCCTTTGATGCCGGGTCTTGGTTCTGACCGAAATGAGCTGCACCGCGAAGCGCCAGGTTTGACTTTGGCTCCAGAAAACGCACTGGGAACTGGCACTGGATGACATGAGTATGGTTTTGTCTCTCCCTTGAGCATCCAGCTCTGACCCTTTATGGCGGGGCTATGCCGAGGGGGAGAGGGAGAGGGAGAGGGAGAGGGAGACCGCGCCTTTGGCAAACCCTGAATTGCACCAGAGTCAAAAAGGCTGTAACCGGAACCCTTTCAGCAGAAAACAAACCTCAAGCCCCACGAAGGCCCCTCGGCTGAACCGACACGTCCGGCGGGTGTCACGCGGGAAAGTCCCGACCGACGAAACGAAACGGGGTGAGGCGTGCGTGAGAAAGACATAACATAAGTCAGGGTAAGAGAGGGAGAGAGAGAGAGAGAGGGAGGGAAGGGAGGGAGGGAGAGGGCGGGAGGGAGAGGGCGAGAGAGACCACGCTCTGCTTGCAAGATTGTTTGGGGATCAGCTGGAGCCCTGTTTGTTGATTGCCTCCTCTGCCCTTCCATGCGCAGGCACGTGCGCAGAACCAGTGGACGCACATGCTGGTCGAGCATGAGGTGTGGGAGTTGGGGGAACTGGATTCGGGGACGAGGTATGCGTTTGGGGACTCGGCCATGGTGAGACGCCAAGCCAAAACGCAAACGATCAAAACCAACCGACTGACCGACCAACCAACCGAACGAAGGATCAGATTGCCATATAGCCTAATTTTGGTATCGGACCATTTGTGGCTAGAGCAAACGTGCTCCGTGGCCCTGGTCTCCCTGGATAGGGACACTTCTTTTAAAGGAAAGCAGCATAAAAAGGGGGAGTTGCCCATTGCTGGTGGCACGGATTGACCAGGTCACGCTTTCCTTCCATCCAGATTTTGTTTTACGTTTGAGTGGACCAGGGAAGGCTAGGGTTTGCTTTAGCTAGCGGTACTGGCACTGGTCCCGTGCGTGTTGCTGCCTTTAGCTTTTTAAGGGGGGGTGGGGGGTTGTGTGGGTGGGGGGTGGGGGTACATAAAAAAGATGCATCTCTGGTTGTGCTTGCATGTATTTCACTTTGTTTGGGGTGGTCTTGCTGCCAAAGGCGATTGCGAATTGCTGGTGCTTCACTCTGCAGTGTGTTTGGCAAAGCCCGGGCAATGGTCGCAGAGCTGTCACTTCCAGATTCTTATGGTTTCGTCGCCACTGAAACGCTTGTAAACAAAGCAATGTGTGGTCATTCATCGCCTTCGCGCAGTTCTTGCTCGGCGACTCGGCAGGGAAAAGCAAGAGTCCTTTCCGCACGGAAGTTTCTTTCCGAGAGCATGGCATCAACCACCGCAGAGTTCGGCACGCTCGCATGCAATTCAAGAAGGACGGCAAACGAAGCAAGCGGGGCCAGAATCGTTTGAGCGGCAGGCAAACGGTTGGTCGCATGTGGAAAGAGCTCGAGTTGTTTTTGCCTGCCGAGTTCGTGTGCAAGAAGAATGTGCATTTCTTTCTGGCGGCGACGCCTCTCGCAAGAAACTGGTCGGCGGTGCGAGCAGGACATTAAGAAGGGACATGCGCAGCTGCCCGGGAAAAATGAGCGCGGTTCTGTGAATGTCACTGAGGACACTGTAACTCGGCTCCTGAAGTGGTGAAGCAACAGTACTTTGTAAAACGCCTTTGGCAGCGACTCCAAACCATGTGAAAGCACATGAAAGCACATCCAGATGTGCGTGCAACGTGCGTAGATTGTGCTGCTCCGGTCCGTCAACAATCGGTGGACTATCTGTTGTGGAGAAGCCAACCTGGCCCTCCTAACTGTGCATTTTTGTGCTGTTTGGGCCAACGGCTCCTTTTGGTGCAAACAACACTTTTTTTGTCTCAGTGCATTTTTGCGAATTTTGCCGTTCTGCGAAACCAGGATGAAGACGAACAGGCGACTTTGCCCAACCCAAAGGCGACATTCCCGACCAAAAAGCGACAATTGCCGACAACGTTCTGGCAAGATTTTGAAGCTGCACTTTTAAAAGGAAAAGGCTCTTTTTGGAACACTCCACACGACATGTTGCTTTTTCAGCAAGCGGCAGAACAAAATGCACACCTGAGCCACAATCAAAACCCGGGTAGATGAAGGTTGGTAAAGGACAATCCCAACCATACATAGCTGCGGCCGCCTTAATTCTTTACATGGTTCAGGGTGGACCATTTTAATACCGGGTTTTGATTACTCACCTGGGAGCCCCGGGGGTCTAGGAATCTACCAGTTTCGCGGAAGCCTCAGTCCCCAAAACTACCCTCCCCCCACTTCATGGAAGTGGAGGGGGCCAAGGAAAGTCGTCTTCCAAAACCCTGGGGGGGGTGGTTCGGGTTCGCCTTACGGGTCGAAGCCCACGGTCTCAGGCCACTTTGGGCGCTCGGAAGCAGGAGTCGGAGCGCCAGCGGCTGCGCCGGGCCGAGGCGCCGAGGTCCGTGTCGCGTCTTTTTTGTTTTTGTTTTCGCCTAAAGAGGTGTGGTTTGAAAGGCAAGGCACCTGGGAAAAGGTGTCCTTTTTAGGTTAGTTTGGTTGAAAATGGAAGGCGCTGGTTTAGATGGGCTTTATTCCATTTGTCAGGGCCATCATTTTTCCAACAGGACACCCACAGCACGCACCTGGGTTTACCACCCCAGCATAAAGTTCCCTTTTCGGGAATCCACGTGATGGTGCAAGCTTGTTTGGGAGTAGGGATGGTGGGCCTTGGGGGATTGAGTATTGGGAATGAGTTGGCATACGAACGGTGGTGTGTTCGGAGATTCCGAAGTGCATTACCGGAAGCCCTCTTTGATTCCCCACTGAAAACGAGGTTAACATGGACCCTGAAACCCAGCCGTTGGGGGTTATTGCAATGGTATCATTGCGAACCTTGGGCGCCAATTCGCCCGGTCTTAAGCTGGAAGGAGTCTTCATGCTGCACATGTAACACTAAAGTTGTGAACATGGGCGCGAGGTTGGCATCTCCGAATTTGTCCAGGCACAAGATCCAAATGGGTAAGCGGGCTGGCCACCAGACTCGCACTGACGCCTAAGACGCACCTACCGTAGGCGCACTGGCGAACGCAAGATCTGGCGGAGATGTGCCAACCGGTCGCCAGCTCCACTGACGGGCTTGAAAGCCTTGACTCCGTGCCACCCTGGCGAATGGGAGGAGAAAGCGCCTGGAATGCGCATGACTACATGGCGCATCAGGCACGCGCGCACGCTGCTGTAGCTGTTGTGACCGAAGCTGCCGTCCTGACTTTTGCTTTCTTTTGTCGCCAGAACAAAAACCGCGCACCCTAATTGAACTTCACTACCAACGTGGGCCCGCGTCAGATCAGACAAATGGCCGAGTCAGTGACTCAAGTTGTAATCAGACCCGACCTTTGCGCACGATCACCGATGTGACATGGGTCACGGCCTGGGTCTCAGCATCAAGAGCTCTCCTACTCACTTGGCGACGTGAAGGAGACCAAACCCCGTCCTCCCCAGGCTGCCCCCGCTCGGTGCGCATCAAAGAGCCACTGGCCAGCGCAGTCGGCGCTGAGCGAGACCCACCCTTTGCTCCACAGACGGCAGCGCGACAGATCAGACGAGGCCTGTTTCCTTGACGACGGCCTCGGCGCAACCCAAGCGCCTGGCAATCGCTGGCAATCGCTGGCAATGAGAAGCGGTTGGCTTCGCCATTCCCATGCCGCACATGGGTCCCGGTGACACTTGTCTATATCGAAGCCGCCCTCACCTCCTTGGACTCGGCAAAGGCTTTTCTCATGTCCTGCTCATTTGCCTCATGGCCAAACCCCCAAACCCGAAACCGGTGGAACTGCCTGGAGCTACAGTGACTCGTTGGACGGTTTCCTACCACAAACCAAGCACATGGAAGTGGTGGGCTCCAAACGGCCGGCTTGCGGGCCCTGCTTGGTATGGTCTTTTGCCTTGCGCAAGTTGCGTGGGCCGAAAAAGGGCCACCAAGATAGCGGTCCTTTACTTGGGAATTATCGTACAATTTTCGCAGATTTCTTTCTAGTTTCAAGGTGGGAATGCCATTCCCAACCCCGTTGCCAACTGAAGCCAATGCCGGCTTTGGACGTAAAGTTTTCGCAGATTTCCTGAACTGGAGATTCTCTTCTTCTCCCAGAGTGACAGGGCCCCAGGGAATTCCCTTTGGACACACTCCTTGATCTTCCAGGACCCTGGAAAAGCAGGGTCCTAGGGCCGAATTTCCACTTGGAGCCAGATCAAATCAAGAAGGACCCGGGTTTTGCGAGTTCATGGACGTTCGCACCACTTTTTGGGTTTGGACCAGGGCAAAAACCGTCAGTTCGGTGACCTTGTTTGGACAGTCCGCCCGGCTCTCGCCCAGAGGCGGCTCGTCAGCGCCGGGCCGAGGAGGAGGAGCTGAGCCGGCGCGTGGAGGAGGCGGGGACCTCGATTTCGTTTTGCCCAACTCGGTGGCGCGGTCCTTTTGTTGGTGTGTCTTTTGGGAAGTTGTTTGTGTTTTTGCGCATTTCCCCCTGTAGTTTTCGTCTTTTTCGTAGCTTTTTTTGTCTTCTCTTTTTTTAATTCTCCGGATTTTTTGGTCGTGTGTCTTTGTTTTTTTGGTGGTTGATCTGTAGTTTTTGCTGTTTCGTCTTTGTGTTTTGCTTTCTCGCTTGAGTTGGTTGCTTCAGTTTCTTGTTCGTTGGGGCTCCCAAGCGAGTTTTTTCTGTTGAGATTTTAAGGAACCCTCCCTGCATTGTGTGGCCACCGCCTTAGTTGACATTTTTAGTCAGTATTCTTTTGGGACAGAGGAAACCCTGGCTGGCGAAAGCAACTTTTTGTGGCCATTTGAAGTAACACTTTGTTTAGTCTTTCAGTGGGGGTGAAGTTTGAAGGGCACACGTGGCCATGAATTCAATAATTTCCCATGTGGAAATGACGTCTACCCAAGTGTCTCTAATGTAGAAGTTGCACCCATACCACTACTTCAATTGTAACCCTTCGCCTGTTTTTGGAACCTGTATGGATTCCCAATCAACAACAACGGCTTGGTATTTGGATTCGGGGCCTAAGGGCATTAAGATATAGCTTTCATTGCAAGGCAGCACGGTCCTCAACCCTCTTGCCGTTTGACAGTCGCTTGCTGTATTTGGTTTATGCGCCCCTCTGGCCAATGTGTTCATTTTCCCAAACCCAGCCCAAAGCGGCACCAAGAAGAGCCGAGGGGTGGGGTGGGGCGGGGGTGGGGTCTGGCAGCCAGCAGACTGAGCGCCTTGCGGCCGGTCTCGCCTGAGGCTGAGGCGGACAAGCGGCGCAGAAGGGATGAGGAGCTGCGGCAGCAGCAGCGATTGGAGGAGACGCCGGCAGTTTTTAGCCACGTTCTCCTGTGGCGGCGTCGGCGTTGTGTCTTGAGAAGCGCAAAAAGGTTGGGTGAACTAAACCCTGCGGTCTGAAACGCCGTTTCAGATTTTGGAAGGCGGATTTTGGTTCTGCTCCACCAAAAAGGTTCCGACTTGCAAGCTCCAAAGGCCAATCAAAATTATTCGCAAAGAAAGCTTGAGCGCCAATTCAGAAATGCCCAGGCCGGGGACCTTTCGAGAATTCTGGGTTTCCCTTTTTCCTTCTAAAACCACCCCATAAAGCGACCCCCCAAAAAACAAACACCAAAAAACATGACACACCCAAGAAACATGACACACCCAACAAGAGACACGTCCGAAAACAGGACCCCAACCCAAAAGGACGACGGCGTTCCCACGTCTCCCGTGGTTTGTTGGTCGCAGGAGGAGGCGCGGAAGGCGAGGCTGGAGGAGGAGAGGCTCCTGGAGCTCATGCAGCCGCTCGGCGCGGATTCGGGGGGGGGGATTCGGGGGATTCGGGGGATTTTTTTCTTCCAAAAGGTTTCCGGGCTGGCAAAAAGTGCTCCCAGTTTGTCTGGACCTGCGTTTTTCAGGCGCCGCGTGACATAATTGGCTTCACCCAGGGATGCACGGGAGAGACCCATGCGGCGTCTCTTCTTCTCGCAAAAGTACACGCCGAGCAGTTTTGGGGGTCCATCCCCCATTTCGCGACAGATGTGGTCCAATCTCCTTCAAGGTTGGCATGGGATCCAGCTGGTTGGCCGCTTCGATGGCTGGACAGGGACCCTTGACCCACCGGGTCGACCAGCAAAACGGCGAGGTGTCCAATTAGTCAGATAGAATGAGGAGCTTGAAACCCCTGGACCCAGTATCTGCGCCCAAAGCTGTACGGGCTTTGGAGTTCATGTGTGCGGGGTGAGGCTGGCTGCGCGCAGGTCGCTCCATGTTGCGTGGTTTTCGTACGGATCTGGTGTGCATGTTGAGTACAAAAGGCATACACACATGCATGCAGCGTGTGCATTTTTTGCACGTGTGTTTTGCGTGCATTCTTGGCTTTGACATGGCATCCTTCGAAACTGCCAGAAACAGCAATGCATACACCATGCATACACAAACGCATACAGAAAGCATACATAGCGCATACAGAAAGCATGCGCCATGCGAATCATATACTTGTCTCGCATTGTTGTGCAGTGTTAGCAAAAATGTGGTTCCCACAATGCCATGACCATTCCGGAAGGAAAAGAAAAAAGCAAACAACAAAAACCAGAATGTGACAGACACGGCAGCCAAAGACAAAGTGATGAAGGTCTTGAGGGATTTGCTCGGTTTTTTTGCCCATCAGGGTTTGGGATCTCTTGAGACTCTTTCACGGAGGAGGCCCGCAGGGACACCCCAAAGCTTTTTGAAGTGTTGATTGGTTTCAGGGGGCGCCCCCAGTGACCCAAGTGGTTCGTCGTGGTCGTGTGGCTTTGGCTTTGAGCCCCAAATGACACGGGGAGTCCCCGGCGTGTCGGAGGCCCCGGAAGTGCGCCAAGTGCAACGGCACGGGGCGCTGCAGCAACTGCCAG